ACATAACTCGAGAAACACTAGTCCGATTTTGCTCAAACAAATTTAAAAAAATTAAAAACTACAATTCCTTTAATCTGTTCATATAACGTTTTTCTATATAATCAACAGATTTAAAAAAATTTAATATTTTAGGCAAAAAATATTTTTTTTTTTCTTCATACATTTATTTCTCCTCCGTCTCGCCGAAAGAGAAGAGGAGATCGCACTCATCCAGGAGCCTTGGGTCATAAAAGATCGGGTTTGTGGATTGAATATGAAGGGATACAAGCTGTTCTATGTAACTGACAAAGGTAAACCCAGGTCGTGCATATTGATAAAAAAGTGTATTAATGCATTTCTCTTGATACAGTTTAGCGATGCGGACAACGTCATCATAGCAGTGGAATCAGGCGGAATGTCTATTTGGCTGGCTTCCACATATATGGCCCACGACGCAGAAACATTACCTCCACCACAATCCTTAAGGAGCGCGGTAATGGAGGCCTCTAGACGCGGCACTCCGATGGTCATAGGAGCGGACGCGAATGCCCATCATCACATATGGGGCAGCTCAGATACAAATGAACGCGGTGAGTCGATATTCGAATTCATTATGTGCAATAACTTACAGGTTAGCAACGTAGGTGATACCCCTACCTTTGTGACGTCTGTTAGAAGGGAGGCCCTTGACATTACATGTGTCAATGAGCAGGGGGCAGAACTCTTGAATGACTGGAGAGTCTCAAAAGACAACTCCTTTTCGGATCACATGTACGTCGTTTATAACCTATACGTACCAGTAAGAAAACAACAAGCGGTCTTAAACCGCAGAAAAACAAATTGGAAAAGATTTGAAACAATATTTTCTAATAATATTTCCGGCCTCACAAATCAAATAAACTCGGAACATCAACTTGATAACGTCGTAGACGATATAACTAAAGCATTTCATCGTGCAGCAAAATCAGCCTGCCCAATCAGGGCAACAAGTAGGAAACCAAAACCTCCATGGTGGTCCACTGAAATTGCAACCCTCAGAAGGGAATGCAGATCAAAATTTAATGAAGCTAAGAGATCCAACTCTTGGAGTGAATTTAAAGATTGGCAACGCCGATTTAAGTATGCAATAAGAGACGCTAAGCGCTCCTCATGGAGGAACTTCTGTCAGAAGATAGAAAGTACTTCGGAGGCCAGCAGACTGCGCAAAATACTATCTATGAGTCCCAGCAATATTAGCTATCTCATCAAGGAGGATGGTGATTGGACAACTAGCAGCGAAGAAACTCTAGAGCTTCTTGTACAGACGCACTTTCCGGGTTGCCTCCACAGTGTCAAGATGAAGAAGAGGAGGAAACGATTCTCCACCTGTTGTGCCAATGCCCTGCTCTATCTAGACGAAGACTCTCCACTCTCGGTAGGCAATTCTTCGACAACTTGGAGGACCTTAGATGCGTCGAAATCAGGGATCTTCTAAAATTCGTTCAAAGTTCAAAATGGTTTTAGGAGGGATCGGGAGTTGCTGACCCAACATGCGGCATCACAATGGGCCCTGAGCCTAAGTGTGTCTTATAGACGACCGCGACAACCTAACCTAACCTATACATTTATTTTTACCGGCAAAACTTGATTATATAGAAAAACGTTGTATGAACAGATTAAAGGAATTGTAATTTTTAATTTTTTTAAATTTGTTTGAGCAAAATCGGACTAGTGGTTCTCGAGTTATGTCAAAAAAAGACCACCAAAGGTGACAATTTCCCCTATATGATAGTTATATATATATCTCGATTCCTAGACGTGACCCAGCGAAACGCCGGGACACGTATAACTTCTTTTTTACCGATATAACATTTCCCGTTGGTTTCATCCCATCCCGATTTTGACTGTCGCATAGTGTAATTATAGCTGGAAATGGTGTCTGGACACACAACATTGCAAGTTGATAAAAGCGTTGTAAGAATAGTCAAGTAGGTTTGGACTACAATTTACCGCATATTTTGTTGGTATCGCCATGTGTGCCATCGAGAGTTATGCACTAGCAACATTATCAAGGAAATTTTCGCTGTAATAGTCACGTACAAGGGTATTCACATTAAAATCGCAACAAACAATGATATGATTATAATCAACAAGATACGCAGACATGACATCAAAAAACGGACTAATAGGGAATTTACATGATTAAACTTATCAGCATTCAAGCTACGAGCACTGAAGTGCGCTATGTTAAGGCCCCTCTGACGACTACAGATAACATTTAACTTAATTAATAGCTAATTGCTGACTTCAAAGTTATATAGGATTAACATTACTTGGCTAAGAAGCATCACATTGCTATATACAAATGTTTTAAATACAAATTCTATGCTATTGACTTTTTGAATTGAGATTTTTTCTTTTTTATTTCTAAACCGTAACTGATGGAAATGTCCAATATGCGCGACCACGTTCAAATGTTGAATTGGAACTTAGTTGCTCAAATTGAGCATTTACATCAATTATAGTTTAGAAATAAAGCAGGCTGATGCTTTGCATCAATGCATTTAGGAAATCAGCCAACCTTACTTGTGCTGCGTCCATATTTAAGGGGACAGCGAAAATATGTTTTGCAGAAAAGAAAACGCCATAAGACTAATGTTCTTAATCTAAACATTCATGAATTCCCTTGATACTTGCATTGCCACGTCTTCTTATCTATTGTTGCTGTATTCGTATTTAATAACAAACTTACCTGAAGCATGGTGAGCAATGAACACTCATATTCCTATGACGCTTTTCAAAACGGCTGTACTTGCGAACGAAATGCAAATAATCACGTCGAATAACAATAGTGCGTTGCATTTTACATTTACGGACTGCTCCTGTCAAAATACGACCACGAATGCGCACATTACCAGTGAATGGACACTTTTTGTCGATGTAAGTACCATCAACGGCCTAAATAAAGAAAATATTAAATGTATCTTAGGTTTCGGCATAGAATGCATGGAAATTTGTATAGTTGAACTTACTTCACGGGGGGTTTTGAAACCCAAGCCAATATCGCGATAGCGACGGAGAACTTTCTTCTTCGTCACTCCAGGCTTAAGTTTTCTGTTAAGATTGATGCCAAATTGTTTTTGGAATGCCCTTTCGTTCTAGAATGTTATTAATTTCATTATTATATAACATATATTCCAGCAGAAGCGATACACAATGGTGTGAGTCCATGCAAATAAAAAGAATAGATTAGTAGGTAAAGATGAAATACAACTTAGATGTGCGAAATCCTAGACCTATAGCAATACTTCTGCAGCCTTTTTTTGCGTTGGGCGATTTCCTTCGGCATAACCGGTGTAGAAAATTGCTCGTCAGTAAAGTGTCGGCCGCCGAGAAAAACATAATAAACAGGCAGTTGGATTTTTTCATGAGTCGTTGGTTCATGGGATTTTTTCACTTCAACTGGCTATTTGAGATAGGATCAACCCATGAACCAACTAAGTCTAAATATATTATTTCACTATGGGCTCAACCTACAAATTCTATCGGATGTGAAATGTTGAACATGCCCGAAAAGTTGGCACATAAAATGAAATGAAAATGCGACAAAAATGGCATATCTTTATACATAGTGCTTTCTTTATTATATTTTGCCGATAAATTTTCCATTTTTTTCGCAAATACCCGTCAACCCAATACCACATGGTGTTCAATATCTCACACATTTTCATTTATGGACATTGGTCGTCCAGTTTGTTTTGGTCATATACACATTACGGTAAACACAAGATACGCTTTAAAATTTAATTTCATAATTTTCTAAATGTTTGCAAAATATCCACCACGATACTGCATCTTACCTGATCAGCCATATTGGGGTAAAAGAAAAGAATCGCAGGAAGTGAAATCAACGAGTAAAGGAAATGAAGTATATTCGTTAAAAAAAAATTAGTTACATTGGATCGCTTAGGTTGCAGTTACACGTGCAAGATTTTACTTTAAAGACTTGAAATTCAAGTTGATCACACACACCGTTGGGAAAATTCATTTGAATTGACAGCGGCATTCATCTAGATAACCAATCGTTCAGTTATGGAACAACCAAATATGCATATCTATAGTACTTTTTGCGATCTTTTCAAGGAACACCTAAAGGCAAAAATGCACTTTAGCTTACAGGGCCAAAAATGGAAGAAAAATTTTGAGAGTGGTATCAATCGACGCGTTTTAACGCCAATCATTACAATCCGATGGCGGAGATTAACTTTTTTTTTAACTAATTTAAGAGTTATTTTCAAAAAAAACTTGCACTTTTCGCACTTTCTTTTGATTCATTTGGCGCAAATAAAAGGAGTAAAAGAACACAGCTTAACACGTATTTATTTGTTTTTGTACATTTGTGAGTATTAAGTGAAACATATGTGCAAAATTGTTTATTTAGTTGCAATATTCCGGCCTTAAAAACTCCGCACAGCAATCTTTTGAAGTTAATGGCCCGTAGTCATAGAGAAGTTAGAAAAAGGTTTTAACGATTAAAATTGTGTTTAATTGTAATCACCATTTTAACTCTTTCATAGTCAACTTAAATGCATTTTATGGCAAAAACAGACTTAAAACTTTAAAATGAGGATAACGCGGTTTTAAAATGGTAAAATAAGGTTCTAAGTTTTGTTTTGTTGTTGAAGTAGTAAACGCAATAGCGCCCAGGTTCGGTCCCCACTCGGAGCGATTCCAAACTATTTTTTTATTTATATTTTACCATAAACATTATTTTATTTTATTTTATTAAATTTTGTTTGATTATCTTTTTTTGCTTGTAGTATTTCATATAATTATTTCGTTATTGATAAAATTTTTTGGAGTTTGATTTTAATTAAAAAGGCCATAACAACTATAATTAAATAACAAAAATTTAAATAATATTTAAAAGAACAAAAAAGATATAAAAAAATGTTCCCGGCTTGCTAAATCCGCAATCCTGCAGCGGACAGAGGGCGAACTAATTAAAGTACTCATACTTCTATATATTGGCGGGTAAATTTTTTCTCTTCATATGGATAGCACTCACGGTGGAGAGAATACAGAGGTGGCGCCGATGACGATACCGCTACTCGGCTCTCAGTGATTTTGACATAATCAACTGTTTTGGTGACGTCATAGTAGAGACGACAGCAGTAGTGATGTGCTGAGTCAATACTTTTAAGTACCCAATACTCTCGATACTCGGTACCGAAACATTTAGGTTTCGAATAAAAGCGCACATGGGCCAAAAATATGGAAAAAATGCCTAACAAAACCCGAATGTAAGAGCCAATAGAGCTTTTTTACTGATTCAA